GACTCCACACGAGCACGTCCAGCACCCTCAGGCTCCGCACCCCCAGGCTCAGCACACCCAGACGCAGCACCCCCAGGCTCAACACCCCCAGGCTTAGCACCCCCAGGCTTAGCACCCCCAGGCTCAACACCCCCAGGCTTACTTGCCCCAGGCTTAGCACCCCCAGGCTCAGTACCCCTAGTAGCACCAATGTCAACAGCTACCTCGACAGGCTCGACTGCATCTACCTGGGACACACCGGAGGGGGCAGGACCCTGAGGGGGAAGGGGGTCTACCAGAGGGGGACCAGGCACAAGGAAGAGTGGCGGCGGGGGGAGGGGCGCAGTGCGGTAGGGGAAGAGACGGTAGTAAGGAACCGACTCGTCAAACGTGACGTCCTAAGAGGACAGAACACGGCGCGAGGTGGGGTGGTAAACCTGCCAACCAGGCGCGTCAGGGGGGAAGCCAAGGAAGACGCAGAGAACAGCACCGGGGAACAGCTTGTCCGCAGACAAGTCGCGGACAAAAGCCCGAGATCCCCAGACACGAAACGCAGACGCATTGCCAACCTTCCCCGTCCACCGCAGAGAAGAAGAGGTCTCTGGCAAGGAGATCCGGGGCTGAAGGTTGATCTGATGCGCCGCGTACTGAACCGCGATCGGCCACAGAAAATGGGGAGCAGCCGCATGAATCATGGACGTACGAGCGACGTCCATGACCATGCCAATGCGGCGCTCACCAATCCCATTTTGCTGTGGATAGGCCGAAGCGTGAATGTCTGGCGGATGCCCTCTGCACAACAGAAGGCTCGCAGGAGGTCTGAGGAAAACTCTCCGCCTCTGTCAGAGTGCAGACGCAGAACAGGAAAGTCCGAGCCGAAACTCTCTTTGAGCTGGAGACGAGCTGCGTGGATTCACTTGATCAACACCACAATGACGTCACCCTTGCTACACAAGGGGAAGACCGTGGTGTAACGCGAGTAGTCGTCAACCACCAACAGGAAGTAACGCTCGTGACCCTGGCCACAGACGAGGGCGGGGCCCCACACGTCCATGTGAAGAGTCTGCAGCGGAGCCTCTGTCGGAGGAAACTCGGAGCAGTGAGGAGCGGCGCGCTGCCGCCCCTCGACGCAAGGAACGCAAGTAGGGGCAGGCCCTAGAGGGAGGGGAGGGAGGGACCGGGGGAGACCAGAGAGCAGGTAACGGGAGGCCATGCCTCTGAGACGAGGCAGGGAGGGGTGACCAAGGCGGTGGTGCCAGAGGAGGGTCCGGTGGGACAGGAGACGACACAAGCAGGGAGCAGACTCAGGACCAGACTTGGACGCTGCAGCAAACACCCGACCCAACGCAGCTACCTCACCAGACTCAGCAACGAGAGGAGACTCTGTAGTCAGTGTGTACAGGCTCGACCCCGGCTGACGGGTAAACGTGGCCAAGTGTCGGCCCGTCCGAGCACAGGTACAGTGGGTCACCCGCTGACTCGCAGGAGTGAACTGGTCAACCCCCCCATCCTGTAGATCAGCACCAATCACCAAGTTCGTAGAGAACGAGGGGAGGTAAAGACCTGACCGGGCGCTAGAAGGGGCCGCCAGACACGGTAAGAAAGTGGAGAAGTGGGCAAGGACAGGATGTGGGAATGAGGAAATGGATGAACTAACACAAGGTTGGGTACAAGTAGGAAACCCTAGGAAACTGTACCCCATAGTGTCTACCCCACAATAGCCTAGACAAGCTATATAATATGAGTTTGACACACCCCCATAGGCAAAGTGGGAGAACAAGAGGTCACAAGACTAGTCAAGCAAAGCAAAGTAAGCTCAGGGTGGATCACAACGTCACCACACAATCCGAGCACAAGAGCAAGGCCAAAAGGCCAGTTCACATGCAAGATCATATATGAAGGTAAACAAGCAAGTGCAGGTATAGAAAGATCACAGTACAAGCAAGGTCAAGAAGTGAGCAAGTGAGGTCAAGTAGGCACAAGACCTAGCATCGTACAGAAGCGCTGATGATCACCAGGCGAAAGCGCCTTGGTAAAGATATCAGCAGTGTTGGCCTCAGAGGCCACGTAAGCAAGACGCAGCTGACCACGCTGCTGCAGCTCACGAGCAAGGAAGTAGCGGAGAGCAATGTGCTTCGTTCTGTGCTCCAGTCTGTGCTCCCGACACAAGGCCAGCATGGCCTTGTTGTCTACGTACAGAACTGGAGGAGAATGAGGCGGCTCTCCTAGGTCAGTCAGCAGGTAGGTGAGCCAGCGTAGCTCCTGTGCAGCCATGGCCCCCGTGTAGATCTCAGCCTCACAACTGGAGCCGAGAACAGAAGACGAGCGGGTAGACCGCCACGAAACAAAGCCGGAGCCAAGGCTGAAGGTGTAACCCTGTGACAACCGCTGCGTAGCCTGGTCGTCAGCCCAAGAAGCGTCTGCGTGACCTGTGAGGACCACTCGACGTCGCCCTCCAAGCACTAGCCCCATGCCCGACGTACTGCACAAGTAGCGCAACACCCTCTTTGCTGCAGCCATGTGCTCTGGTCGGTGTCTCCCAGGAGCAACATAGCGTGCCAAGATGCTAAGATGGTATGCAAGGTCAGGTCGTGTGCAGGTCATCAGGTACATGAGGCAGCCAACAAGCTCTGGGTACGGGCCACTCGGCTCTACGGACTCATCCGAAGGCAGAGCTGAGAGCGAGTGGCGAATAGACAGAGGAGTGGCCTGAGGCGAGGAGTACGTGAAGTCAGAGCACTGAAGGACCTGCTGCACCATGTGTGATTGTGTCAAGGTAATGGTGCGCTGTGCTCTGTCCCATTTGATCTGCAAGCCAAGGTAGCTGCGCAGTTCACCCAGGTCTGTGCACATGTGTCTCTTCTGCAGCTCGGACTTCACGCGGGCTAGTCCAGCAGTGTCAGCAGTGGCAAAGACCAAGTCGTCGACGTACACGAGGATGTAGAACGGCGGCAAAGAGGTGTCGGTGCGCAGAAACAGTGACGGGTCGGCAGTAGAAGGAGCAAACCCAAGTGTGAGAATACTAGTAGCAAGGCTTAGGAGCCATGGCGAGTTAGGTGAAAAGCGGTTGAGTTCGAGTGAGTTTAGGTGAGTAGGAAGATTGCAACAAAAAAGGGTGTTCACTATAGAGCGAGCAGTACAAATAGGCAAGAATGAAGAAAGGTGCACCACCAAACAGAAAGTTATATGACTACAGTAGTCTACACTATTGGCAGTTACAAAACAATATATAGAATTATATATTATTCTGACACCAAGAGCCGCAAGTGTAGTCCTCAGTGTGTCGTGCCACTCACGGGGCGCCTGGCGAAGACCGTAGACTGGCCGCCGGAGGCTCCAATGGGTACCAGAAGGAAACGACCCAGTGAAGCCAGGCAGGCGGCGCAGCCAGATCTCCTCGTGCAGGCTGCCCTGCAAGAAAGCTATGCTGAAGTCAAGAGAGTGAAGCTCGTAGTCGCGCTGAGCGGCTATGTGCAGCAGCACCCAAAGAGTGGTCATCTTCGGGGTGGGAGAGAAGGTATGAAAGTAGTCAACTCCCTGCCGCTGACTGAAGCCTCGAGCCACGTAACGCGCCTTGAAGACAGGCGGAGAACCCGGCGGCCGCTTCACCCTGAAAATCCACATGCCACTGACGATGTTCGCCCCAGGTGGGGGAACCTCGTCGACGTAGGTGCCTGTGGACTTCCAGGAAGCCATCTCTGCGTCCATGGCTGACTGCCACTATGAGGAGTAGGGACCCTCGATCGCCTTAGCGTACGATCGAGGAGTCGGGATGTCTGGTGCATCCGGGTCTCCCTCAGGGGCAATCAGCGTGGACACGAGATGAGGCAAAGAAGCAGCGAAACACTGGAACTCCTCCTACCTGTCCTCAAGGACGTACGTGCTCAGAGCACACTCACCTCCGATGGACAGAGGACAGACAGAGTCAGACTCAGCAACAAGACTAGCGGCGTAGTCGAGATGACAGCGAGCAGCAAAGTCGACAAGCTCAGCCACTAAGGCAGACGCAACAGTGGACTCAAAGGAAGGGTCAGTGACAACAGTAGCCATGAGACGCGTGACAGTAAGACTGGCAGCACGAAGAGAGTCAGAGGAGCAGTGGAAGGACGCAGTGCCATCTGGTGTGTGCCTGGGACCGCAGGAGGACGTGGACGCGGAACACGACGACTAGTGCGAGCAACACGAACAGGCGACGCAGGACGAGATGCAGGCTCACGACGCTCAGCAAGACCTCCAGTAGGACCAGTGCAGGGAGAAGGAGCAGGAAGAGGGGAGGCGGGCTGTAACTGTGACTGCGACTGGACAGGCTGCGGACATTCGACCAGTAGAGGGCAGGAGACCAAGAACCTGCTCGAGGAGCGGAACAAAGTACGGCCGCGGCTTCGCAGCTTCTCCAAAACCAGCATGGAAAGCACCAGTACCCCCAGCGGCAGCACCAGCGCCAGCAGTACCTCCAGCTCCAACAGCGCCAACTCCAGCACCCTCAGAAGCACCAGCGCCAGCAGAACCACCAGCGCCAACACCCTCAGCAGCTCCAGCTCCAGCAGGACCGGCAGCTACAGTACTGCCAGCAGCTCCAGCAGTACCTCCAGCAGGACCAACTCCTGCAGCCCCAGCAGCACCCCCAGTCCCAGCAGCTCCAGCACCGCCAGTACGAGTACCTCTGGGACCAGCAGCAAAAGTAGTACCTCCAGCTCCAGCAGCACGGCTCTAGCGCCGGGCAAACCACTCGCGCAGCTCCTGTGGAGAGAGTGGCTCCCGCCTCGACGAAGCACCGCCGGCAGCCACACGAGCAGACCCAGCACCCCCAGGCTCCGCACCCCCAGGCTCCGCACCCCCAGGCTCAGCACCCCCAGACTCAGCACCCCCAGGCTCAGCACCCCCAGACTCAGCACCTCTAGACCCGGCACCCGCAGGCTCAGCACCTCTAACAGCACCAGAGTCAACAGCTGCCTCGACAAGCTCGACTGCGTCTACCTGGGACACACCTGACGGGGCAGGACCCTGAGGGGGGAGGGGGTCTACCAGGGGAGACCAGAGACAAGGACACGGGAGGCCATGCCTCGGAGACGAGGCAGGGAGGGGTGACCAAGACGGTGGTGCCAAAGGAGAGTCTGGTGGGACAGGAGACGACACGAGCAGGGAGCAGACTCAGGACCAGACCTGGACGCTGCAGCAAACACCTGACTCGACGCAGTTACCTGGCCAGACTCAGCAGCCGGAGGAGACTCAGTAGTAAGTGTGTACAGGCTCGACCCTGGCCGACGGTTGAACGTGGCCAAGTGTCGACGTGTCCGAGCACACGTGCAGTGGGTCACCCGCTGACTCGCAGGAGTGAACTGGTCAACCCCCCTATCCTGTAGGTTTGCTCCACTCACCAAGTTCGTAGAGAACGAGGGGAGGTAGAGACCTGACAGGGTGCCAGAGGGGGCTGCCGGGCACGGTAAGACAGTGGAGAAGCTAGCAAGGACAGGACCCCCAGAGGGGTCCGCCAGGGAGACTGCAACCGGCCGACTAAGCGGCGTAAGCGTGGTGCGGTCTCGAAAGAAGGAGAGGGAATCACCCGAGTCAAGGGTGAAGGTGTGTAAGGCCTGAGCCGATGTATTACCTGAGAGAGCAGACTCACGAGCACCTGGGGCAGCAGACGCACTAGCACCTGGGGCAGCAGACGCACTAGCACCTAGAGCAGCAGCCTCACCAGCACCTAGAGCAGCAGCCTCAATGCCCGGGTCTGGCGGAACACACAGGTAACAGTCACCCTCATCACTAGTAGACACAGCATACATGGCAGCAAGAATAGCATCATAGTCAAGATCAAAGATGGCAACCCCCGCCCTAGACAGATCTCCCCAGCGAGGGATCTCTGACGCCTCAGGGAACTGGTGACGCCACGCGTCTGTCAGGCGGCCGAAGCAACGCTGGGTGGAGTGCGGGCCCCCGCACTGCTCACCAGCGCGGTCACCGGTACGGAGGACGTAAGTGCAGGGACTAGTACCTCCACCGCGCTGACGTGCAGCGTACCACTCACGAAGCTGCTGAGGGGACAGGGCCTCACGACTGCGCTGCTGCTGCTGGCGCGGACCGCCACCGGAGCCACTCCTCTGCCCAGAGTCGCAACCAGCTCCACCGCCGCCGCCGCCGCCGCCTCCGCCGCCTCCGCCACCTCCGCCGCCTCCGCTCCCTCCGCCACCACCGCCGCCTCCTCCACCTCCCTTGCTGCCACCGCCGCCGCCACCCCCGCCACCACTCCCACCACCACCCCCACCCCCTCCACTACCTCCACCACCACCTCCACCGCCCCCGCTAGCCCCTCCAGCTCCCTTGCCCCCCTTGCCCTTGCCGGTGCGGCGTCTCCCGCTAGGGGCAGACGCAGCGCTGACCCCGTAGAAACCAACGAGGTCGGCAGCAGCAGCAGAAGCAACAGAGGGCAAGAGGGGGGAGGGGGAACACCCCTCAAAGACGGGGGTGCGAGGGTCACCACGAGAGGCTCCTACAGCGACTATGCTCTTCTCTACTGCTAGGAGGCGCTCCTCGAGGAGGTCAAAGGTGAGTGTGGTGGGGCAAACAGAGAGGAAGTGGTTCCTGACTAAGCGAAGAGAGTCAGGGAGGCGGGTGACTATATAGTAGAGGGTGATGTACATGGGGGGGGGGGTTCTTGGCGCAGAACTCAGTAGGAAGCGCAGAGCGGTAGCGAGTGTCACTAGTGCGAAGGTGCGTAATGAGGTCAGCGACTGTGGGAAAGGCAGCAAGGTCAGGGAAGAGGTACGGTAGCATGAGGCGGCTCAGTGCAGCAGTGGCAGGGGAAGAATAGCCTGCAACTACAGCGTCGTACAAGGTCTGAGCACTCTTGTACTGGCTAAAGTGCGCATGCTCAGTGGTCGGTAAGTGGCGACGCACAGCAAGACGGGCAGCAGCATCACGTGTCGCCCACTCTGAGCGAACAGTGCTGTCAGCAGTAGCAGGCGGGGCAGGGGAGGCACCAGAGGTGAGGTCGAACAGGGAGAGGCCGTCTGCCCTATCGCACTGGAGGAACAGCTGGAGGTCATCGACCCAGACCTCAAAGTCAACAGCACGACCCTCAATATCAAGGGTAAGAACACTGGGGGTAGCCATGACTGAAGTGGCCTAGCAAGGAGTGAGCTCACCAGTCCGAGTAAGGAGGGTCGGGGCGTGCCGGTAGGACTAGTAGCGGCTCGACGGCAGGGCGGCTCGGCGGCTCAGCGGCTCGGCTGCTGGGCGGCTCGGCTGTCGGGCGGCTCGGCTGTCGGGCGGCTCGGCGGTTCGGCTGCTGGGCGGCTCGGCGGCTCGGCTGCTGGGTGGCTCGGCTGTCGGGCGGCTCCGCGGCTCGGTTGCTGGGCGGCTCGGCGGCTCGGCTGCTGGGCGGCTCGGCGGCTCTGCTGTTGGGCGGCTCAGCTGTTGGGCTACTCAGTAGAGGCGGCGTTGGGGCCACTAGGGGCGGCGACGAGGCCGCGTAGGGAGGGGAGCGGCGACGGGGCCGTGTAGTGTCGGCTATGGGGCCGCGTAGGAAGGGGGGCGACGACGGGGCCGCTAGGGGCGGCGATAGGGCCGCGTAGAGGCGGCGACAGGGCCGCGTAGGGGCGGCAACGGGGCCGCTTAGGGGCGGCGACGGGGCCGCTTAGGGGCGGAAGCGGGGCCGCTTAGGGGCGGCGACGGGGCCGCGTAGGGTTAGAGGCGGCGACGGGGCCGCTAGGGGTGGCGACGGGGCCGCTAGGGGCGGCGACGGGGCCCCGTAGGGGCGGCGACGGGGCCGCGTAGGGTGAGAGGCGGCAACGGGGCCGCTAGGGGCGGCGACGGGGCCGCTAGGGGCGGCGACGGGGCCGCGTAGGGTGAGAGGCGGCGACGGGGCCGCTAGGGGCGGCGACGGGGCCGCTAGGGGCGGCGACGGGGCCGCGTAGGGGCGGCGACGGGGCCGCGTAGGGGCGGCGACGGGGCCGCGTAGGGGCGGCGACGGGGCCGCGTAGGGTGAGAGGCGGCGACGGGGCCGCTAGGGGCGGCAACGGGGCCGCGTGGGGGGCAGCGACGAGGCCGCTAGGGGCCACTAGGGGCCAAGAAAGGGCGGCGAAAAAGGCGCGCCTCGGGCAGGAGCGACTGGCGCTCCGGTCAGAAAGGAAAATTTCAGTGGTGGGCCCAAGGAAGCATTCCCACTAGGGAACCTGCTCTATACCATGTGAGAATGAGGAAATGGATGAACTAGCACAAGTTTGGGTACAAGTTGGAAACCCTAGGAAACTGTACCCCATAGTGTCTACCCCACTATAGCCTAGACAAGCTATATAATATGAGTTTGATACAGGACCCCCAGAGGGGTCCGCCAGGGAGACCGCAACTGGCCGACTAAGCGGCGTAAGTGTGGTGCGGTCTCGAAAGAAGGAGCGGGAAGCACTCGAGTCAAAGGGTGAAGATGTGTAAGGCCTGACCCGACGTGGTACCTGAGAGAGCAGACTCACCAGCACCTGGGGCAGCAGACGCACTAGCACCTAGCACAGCAGCCTCACTAGCACCTAGAGCAGCAGCCTCAATGTTCGGGTCACGTGGAACACACAGGTAACAGTCACCCTCATCACTAGTAGACACAACATACATGGCAGCAAGAATAGCATCATAATCCATATCAAAGATAGCAACCCCCGACCTAAGCAGCTCGCCCCAGCGGGGGATCTCAGTGGCGTCAGGGAACTGGAGACGCCAAGCGTCCGTCAGGCGGCCGAAGCAGCGCTGGGTGGTGTGCGGGCCACCGCACGGCTCACCAGTGCGGTCGCCGGTACGCAGGACGTAGGCACAAGGACCAGCACCCCCACCCCGCTGACGCGCAGCGTACCACTCACGAAGCTCCGGGGGGGGGGGGGGGGGTGGGGTCTCATGAGTGCGCTGCTGCTGCTGGCGCTGACCACCACCGTAACCGCCTCGCTGCGCAGAGCCACCCCGGCCAGCTCCACCGCCGCCGCCGCCACCTCCGCCACCGCCGCCACCGCCGCCTCCTCCGCTCCCACCGCCACCGCCGCCACCGCCTCCGCCTCCACCGCCGCCACCGAAGCCCCCACCCCCGCCACCACTCCCACCGCCACCCCCACTCCCTCCGCCGCCTCCACCACCACCTCCACCGCCACCACCAGCTCCTCCAGCGCCCTTGCCCCCCTTGCCCTTGCCGGTGCGGCGTCTCCCGCTAGGGGCAGACGCAACGCCGACCGACTCGGTGCCAACGTAGTCGACGGAAGTAGCAGAGGCAACAGAGGGCAAAAGGGGGGAGGGGGAGCACCCCTCAAAGAAGGGGGTATGAGGGTCACCACGAGAGGCTCCTACAGCGACTATACTCTTCTCAGCTTCCAGGAGGCGCTTCTCGAGGAGGTCAACGGTGAGTGTGGTGGGGCAAACAGAGAGGAAGTGGTCCCTGACCGAGCGAAGGGAGTCAGGGAGCCGGGTGACTATGTAGTAGAGGGTGATGTACATGGGGGGGGGGGTTCTTGGCACAGAACTCAGCAGGAAGCGCAGCGCGGTAGCGGGTGTCACTAGTGCGAAGGTGCGTAATGAGGTCATCGACTGTGGGAAAGGCGGCGAGGTCAGGGAACAGATACGGTAGCATGAGGTGGCTCAGGGCAGCAGTGGCAGGGGAAGAGTAGCGTGCAACTTCAGCGTCGTACAAGGTCTTAGCACTCTTGTACTGACTAAAGTGTGCGCGCTCAGTGGACGGCAAGTGACTACGCACAGCAAGACGGGCAGCAGCATCGCGTGTGGCCCACTGGGAGCGAACAGTGCTGTCAGCATCGGCAATAGGGGCACGACAGGCACCAGACGTGAGATCGAACAGTGAGAGATCGTCTTTCCTATCGCTCTGCTGGAAAAGCTGCAGATCATTGACCCACACATCAAAATCGACAGCCCGACCCTCAGCATCAAAGGTGAGAACGCTAGGGGTAGCCATGACAGCAGCAGCAGCAGGCTAACAGCAATAGCAGCAGGCGCGGCTCGGCGGTGCTCTTACCAGGGCGGGTGGGTAGAGGCCCGCAGGTGGTGGGGCAGGGCCGAGGCGCGTCGGCAGGGACAGGGCCGCGACTGCGGCGGCGGCTCCCACTGTCGGCGGTGGCGGCGGCTGCGGCCCTAGCAGCGGCGGCTGTCACGGCAGCGGCGGCGGCGGCTGCTGCTGTCGGCAGCTGCAGCGGCTGCGGCCCCGGTAGTGGCGGCGGCGGCTGGCACGGTAGCGGCGGCTGGCACGGCAGCGGCGGCGGCGGCGGCGGCGGTGGCTGCTACTGTCGGCGGCTGCTGCTGTCCGCGGAGGAGCCGAGAAGGGGCCGCCAAGGGCGGCGAAGGGGCCACCAAGGGCCGTGAAGGGGCCGCGAAGGGTGGCGACGGGGCCGAGACGGGGCCGTGAGGGGCCGCGAAGGGCGGCGACAGGGCCGAGAAGGGGCCGTGAGGGGTCGCGAAGGGCGGCGACGGGGCCGAGAAGGGCGGCGACGGGGCCGCGAAGGGGGGCGACGGGGCCGCGAGGGGGCCGCGAGGGGCCACGAAGGGGCCGCGAGGGGCCGGAAGGGGCCGCGAAGGGCCGTGAGAGGGGCCGCGAGGAGCCGCGGAGGGGCCGCGAGGGAGCCGCGAAGGGGCCGCGAGGGGCCATGAGAGGGGCCGCTACGGGGCCGTAAGAGAGCGCGATGGGCCGCTAAGGGCAGGGGACGCGACGGGAGGGCTGGCACACGGGGCGCGACTTGGGCAGGGGCGAAGCATGCTCCGGGCACGAAAAAAAAAATCGATTTTCGGTGGGCCCTAGGAAACGTTCCCACTAGGGAACCTGCTCTATACCATGTGAAAGAACGAGAAATGAATGCACTAGGAAACAGGTGGGTACAAGTAGGAAAACCTAAAAGTGTTTTACCCCATATAATCTACCCCACTACAGCCTACACAGACTATAGCATATAATTTTGACATAGAGGAGCTGAGGCGCCGCGGAGCAGAGCAGGGGAGGGAGTCTCCAAGGCATGGAAACGCCAGCAATCAGTAGGAATTGGGCCAACTACTGACGAGACTGCCTGCTCGCCCAACCCCACCGACCCTCACTGAGTCACAGTACCGATTCACGCCATCAATCGGGCTCGGACGAATAAGGAGGGTACAGCGACGGATTTCATGTTGAAATGAACGAACAGGAATGATTGAACTAACAGTGAAATCAGTACAAGTACCTAACCCTAGAATTGTGTACCCCCTATAGGCTGACCCACTGTAGCCTAAACAAGCACAACATATATAATGTTTGACACACCCCCATAGGCGAAGTGGGGGAGAACTAGGGGTCACAAGACCAGTCAAGTAAAGCAAAGCAAAGCAAGCTCAGGGTGGATCACAAAGTCACCACACATTCCGAGCACAAGTTCAAGGCCACAAGGCCAGTTCACATGCAGGAGTACATATATATATAAGGCTAGACAAGCAAGAGCAAGTTTATATATATGTAACAGTACAAGCAAGGTCAAGAGGTGAGCAAGTGAGGCAAGACAGGCACAAGACCCAGCTGGGTGCAGAAGCGCTGATGATCACAAGGCGCAAGTGCCTTGGTGAAGACATCAGCAGTGTTGGCCTCAGAGGCCACGTACGCAAGCCGCAACTGGCCACGCTACTGTAGCTCACAAGCAAGGAAGTAGCGGAGAGCAATGTGCTTTGTTCTGTGCTCCGATCTCTGCTCTCGACACAAGGCCAGCATGGCCTTGTTGTCTACGTACAGGACTGGAGGAGAACGAGGCGGCTCTCCAAGGTCGGTCAGCAGGTAGGTGAGCCAACGAAGCTCCTGAGCAGCCATGGCCCCTGCGTAGATCTCAGCCTCACAACTGGAGCCGAGAACAGAAGACGAGCGAGTAGCCCGCCACGAAACAGAGCCGGAACCAAGGCTGAAGGTGTAACCCTGTGACGACCGCTGCGTAGCCTGGTCGTCAGCCCAAGAAGCGTCTGCGTGACCAGTGAGGACCACTGGACTCCGCCCTCTAAGCACTAGCCCTATGCCCGACGTACTGCACAAGTAGCGCAACACCCTCTTTGCTGCAGCCATGTGCTCTGGTCGGTGTCTCCCAGGAGCAACATAGCGTGCGAGAATGCTAAGAGGGTATGCAAGGTCAGGTCGTGTGCAGGTCATCAGGTACATGAGGCAGCCAACAAGCTCTGGGTATGGGCCACTCGACTCTACGGACTCATCCGAAGGCAGAGCTGAGAGCGAGTGGCGAGTAGACAAAGGAGTGGCCTGAGGCGAGGAGTACGTGAAGCCGAAGCGCTGAAGGACCTGCTACACCATGTGTGACTAAGTCAGGGTGATGGTGCGGCGTGCTCTGTCCCGGGTGATCTGCAAGCCAAGGTAGCTGCGCAGTTCACCCAGGTCTGTGCACGTGTGTCTCTTCTGCAGCTCGGACTTCACGTAGGCGAGTCCAGCAGTGTCAGCTGTGGCAAAGACCAAGTCGTCGACGTACACGAGGATGTAGAACGGCGGCAGAGAAGGGTCGGTGCGTAGAAACAGCGACGGGTCGGCAGTAGAGGGAGCAAACCCAAGAGCCGCAAGCGTAGTCCTCAGTGTGTCGTGCCACTCACGCGGTGCCTGGCGTAGACCGTAGACTGGCCGCCGGAGGCTCCACTGGGTGCTAGGAGGAAAAGTCCCAGTGAAGCCAAGTGGGCGGCGCAGCCAGATCTCCTCGTGCAGGCTGCCCTGCAGGAAGGCAGTGCTGAAGTCAAGAGAGTGAAGCTCGTAGTCACAGTGAGCAGCTACGTGCAGTAGTACCCAAAGAGTGGTCATCTTCGGGGTGGGAGAGAAGGTCTGAAAGTAGTCAACTCCCTGCCGCTGACTGAAGCCACGAGCCACGTAACGCGCCTTGAAGACAGGCGGAGAACCCGGCGGCCGCTTCACCCTGAAAATCCACATGCCACTGACGATGTTCGCCCCAGGAGGGGGGACAGTGTCAACGTAGGTGCCTGTGGACTTCCAGGAAGCCATCTCTGCATCCATAGCTGCCTGCCACTGAGAAGAGTAGGGACCCTCTATCGCCTCCGCGTAAGAGCGCGGAGTCGGGATGTCAAGTGCCTCCGGGTCTCCCTCAGGGGTAAGCAGTACGGACACGAGATGAGGTGAAGCAGCGGCCAAGCACTGGAACTCCTCCTGCCTGTCCTCAAGGACGTCTGTGCCAAGGGCACACTCACCCCCGACGGACGGAGGACAGACAGACTCAGACTCAGCGACAAGAGTAGCAGCGTAGTCTAGACGACAGCGAGCAGCAAAGTCGACGAGCTCAGCAACTAGGGCAGACGCAGCAGTGGACTCAAAAGAAGGGTCAGTGACGAGAGTAGCAAGGAGACGCGTGACAGTAGGACTGGCAGCACGAAGAGAGTTCGACTCCGGGTCGGGAAGAGCAAGAAGAGAGGACTCAGGAGGAGAAGGCAAAGGGACACGCAGAGGAGCAGTGGATGGACGCAGAGACATCCGGTGCGTGCCAGGGACAGGAGGAGGACGCTGACGCGAACCGCAACCACTAGTGCGAGCAGTACGGACAGGTGACGCAGAGCGAGACGCAGGCTCACGACGCTCAGCAAGACCTCCAATAGGGCCAGTGTAGGGAGAAGGAGCAGGCAGTGGGAAGGCGGGCTGTAACTGTAACCGTGACTGGACAGGCTGTGGACACTCTAAGGGAGGAGGAGGACCGAGAGAAGGCGGGAGACCAAGAACCTGCTGAAGGAGCGGAACGAAGTACGGCCGCTGCCGTGCAGCGACTCCAGAACCAGCAGAGACACCAGCGCCAGGGTCCTCCGCACCAGCAGCAGCTCAAACGCCCGACTCCACAGCACCAGCAGCAGCACCAGCTCCAGGGTCCTCAGCACCAGCAGCAGCTCCAACGCCCGGGTCCTCAGTACCAGCAGCAGCACTAGCGCCCGGGTCCGCAGCACCAGCCGTAGCTCCAACGCCCGGGTCCGCAGCACCAGAAACAGCTCCAACCTCTGGGGCCGCAGCACCAGCAGAACCAGTAGAGTCTCTAGCACCAGTAGCACCACCAGCAGCAGCGGGGTCCGCGACACCAGGCGCGCCACTCCGAAGAGTGCAGCGCCGCTCGTACCACTTACGGATCAGCTCACGGGAGGGGAGCTCCCGGCTAGGAGGAGAAGCACTAGCACCAGTCCCAGTAGTACGCCTGGCTCCAGAGGTACCTCTCCTGAGGCTGCAGTACCGGAAGTACCACTCACGCAGCAGCTCCGAGGAGAGGGCTCCGCCAGGTGTAGGACCCTGAGGCTCAGGACCTCCAGACTCAGAACCCCCCAACTCCGGACTCTGCAGCTCAGCACCCCCAGGCTCAGTACTCCCAGGCTCAGCACCCTCAGGCTCCGCACCCCAAGGCTCAGCACCCCCAGGCTCCGCACCCCCAGGCTCCGCACCCCCAGGCTCCGCACCCCCAGGCTCCGCACCCCCAGGCTCCGCACCCCCAGGCTCAGCACCCCCAGGCTCCGCACCCCCAGGCTCCGCACCCACAGCAGGACGAGAGTCGACAGCTACCTCAACAGGCTCAATCGGGTCTACCTGAGACACACCTGAGGGAGCGGCACCCTGAGGGGGGAGGGGGTCTACGACAGCAGCACCTAGCGAGAGGAAGAGAGGCGGGGGGGGGAGCGGGGCAGTGCGGTAGGGGAAGAGGCGGTAGTAGGGGACGGACTCGTCAAAAGTGACGTCCTGAGAGGGCAAGACTCGACGCGAGGTGGCGTGGTAAAACTGCCAACCAGGCGCGTCCGGGACAAAGCCGAGGAAGACGCAGGGAACAGCACGGGAGGAGAGCTTGTCCGCAGACGTATCGCGGACAAAAGCTCGAGATCCCCAGACCCGGAAACGCGACGCATCGCCAACCTCCCCCGTCCACAGCAGTGTGGGCGAGGTCTCCGGCAAGGAGACACGGGGCCAGAGGTTGAGCTGAT